ACAGTAGACTCTATAAAAACCTGCTATGTCTTGTTGTGAACTACAGCAAAGTGAGTGTTGTGAATTTTATTGTGTGATTTGAGTAATTTGGAAATTCTTCTAACGTTCAGCAATACTCTGTTTTTGAAATATCTTGCTTGCACGTATAATGTCGGTCTCCTTCCGACGGCCATAGATCGGGAGGTGACCATATTGAGCGTTGTTCTGAAATAGCATCATCATCGCAACGAGATAAATGTGACAATGACACAAGAGGCATACGTCATATTGAATCGACTCGTCAGGCTGTAGATGTTCCTCAAATAGGCCTCAAACTAGAACCGATTTTGACCTTTGTAGAGTGCGCAGACAGTTACATTGTCTTCTTCCCTTTGGTTCCAGAGTTTCCTTTACATGGTGCTCCTTCGACCGTAAATCAGTGTTAAACTTAAAAATGCAAAACATTCAATAATATAAATGCCAACGGTGTCTACAAACAGTTGTGTCTATTTTCTTCAATTAGTAATTACTTTCGTCAAGAACAAGGATGTAAAGTCATTTTCGCCTCATTAAGTAAACTGCAAAAAGCATATATAGATCAGGACACTTCACCAGATTGGAAATAATGGTTCAGATGGTAACATTAATTGGATGTCGGTAATTCATAATTCGCGTCTTTATTATCCGACACGGAATTTAATTTCTACTATGCATAAAGCTACGTTCACACCAACGGCGAATGCCACGCTTTAAATCGGCGAGCAAAGCGCCGTCATTTTTGTCATTTTTGTTCATACCAACGGCGCTTTGATGGCGCTTTAAAGCGGCTTGTAAAGCTTCACCAAAGCGTAACAAAGCTTGATTAAAGCGTCGGGGTCGTAATAGGACGTAGAAAAGCACGGAGTAAAGCGGGATATTCGGCAAGAGCGCCAAAATTTTTTTAACTGTTTAAAAATTTTGGGCGCTCTGTTACGAATTGACTAAAGCGCCGAGAGCGTATCAAAGCTTAACAAACCGTAACAAAGCTCAGAAAAGCTTGATCCAAAGTGTAGGAAAGCTTAACATAGCTCTGATAGGTTCCTCACGCTTTGATCCCGCTTTGACCAGGCTTTGTTACACTTGAAATCACGCTTTGATAAGCATTATTACGCTTTGATGCGATAATGACGCTTTAAATCAGGCCCTGATACGATTGCCAAGCTCCGTTGTGCATTGTTACGTTCTGTTAAGCTGTGTCACGCACTGGAAAAGGTCGAAATCGCCGATTTCATGCCGCTTTTGATCCAATGACTTTATAAAGATGCAGTAGATCCATAAAACCATTGCATCTTTGACCTGAGAACAAGATTGCAGAACAACAAGATCCAGAAATTCCAGATGGAATCTGAAGAAGAAATGATGTTTGTCGCACGGCGTGATATAGCGTGTGGAAACTTGTCAAGCGTAACAAAGCCTAGCAAAGCGTTTCAATCCTTGATTAAAGCGTTTCAATTCGTTGGAAAGCTTGAGAGTCCAAAGTGTAACAAAGAGTGTCAGATATTGATGAAAACGTCTGACCTCGTGTCAGATCTTCATGCCAAATCGTAGCAAATCTTGAGACATCTTAACGAAGCGTGTCAAGTGGTAACAGACAGTGAAGAGACTGGGGTCCCCGCTTTGAACCAAGCTCTGTAAAGCTTTTTTACGCTTTGGTTCAAGTTTTGCTGAGCTTTGTTACGGTTTGTTAAGCTTTGATACGCTCTCGGCGCTTTTATCAATTCGTAACTGAGCGCCCAAAATTTTTAAACAGTTTAAAAATTTTTGGCGCTCTTGCCGATTATCCCGCTTTACTCCAAGCCTTTCTACGACCCATTACGACCCCGACGCTTTAACCAAGCAAAAATTATAAAAATAATTCTATGTTAAGGTGATGCTTCACAAATAATATTAATGTCAAAACTTTAATTCATTTCTTCAAATCCAAATACTGACACGCTTTTACGCACACGTGACCTTTTCTCCTTTTGCCCATTTTATTTATCCTAAAAATCAGCGAGCCTTTATACATTGTCCGATACTTCTTTAATACGTGTCGGGTCTAAAATTGCAGTTTATCATGAAAGAAATCGAACAATTATTATAAAAATAATTATGTGTAAAGGTGATGTTCTTCAGATCATATAAACATCAAAATTGTAATTCATTTATTGAAAGTTTAATATCCACATGCTTTACCGCACACATAACCCTTTCCCCTTTTGTTCATTTCATCTATCTTAAAAATCAGTGAGCCTGAACTCATTGCTAAATAATTTTTGATATGAGTCAGCTGCAGGTCTGAAATTGCATTTCATCATGGAACAAAACGAGCAATCATTATGAAAATAATTCTGTGTAAAGGTGATGTTCCAAAGACAATATATATGTCGATTTGATAATTCAGTTACTCAAAATGAAATATCCACATGCTTTTACGCACACCTGATAATTTTCTGAATGATGCTACTTTTTGGATTCAACCATGCATATAACGTCGTAAAATACACATTTCTACCGAAATTATGCCCAACCGTTTTCGCAGAAAATGTAACAAATGAAGGCATTTTATCGGAACTGATTGATATTTGGTACTTATAAAATATCGTATTTACATTAACTTTTAAGCGATTCAGACATTTAAAAAAATGGTGTTTAATCAATGTTAATTTCGCACGAATATAGGGTACAAAATGAGTGAAAGTCTCACGTGTTTGATTGCATTTTACTCCCATTCATGTGCATTTGTCTAACATTAAAATGAGATAGTTCGAAAGAAGAGATCAGTAGAATTCTATCCGTCACTTTCATTTTCAAATGTTTAAATGTTTACCATTTCAATGGACCTCATAAAGATGGTAGCCAACGGACCAGAAACAAGTAGTGCGATGAAGTCATATATCGCTACACCACTTTGATATAAAGTTTGGTAAACAACAATGGTTTTTTCAATGTGCCGACCTACTGGTTACGCATTGGTGCCGCTTTACAAGCCGCTTTAAAGCGCCATCAAAGCGCCGTTGGTGCGAACGTAGCTTGAACAGTTTTAATTTTTGCGCTCTTGCCGAATATCCCGCTTAGCTCCGAGCTTTTCTACTACCTATTACGACCCCGACGTTTTAATCAAGCTTTGTTACGCTTTGGTGCCGCTTTACAAGCCGCTTTAAAGCGCCATCAAAGCGCCGTTGGTATGAACAAAAATGACAAAAATGACGGCGCTTTGCTCGCCGATTTAAAGCGCCATTGGTGTGAACGTAGCTTAATCGTTATATGTGATCTACAAACACCAGTTAATCAGAGTTGGTCGAACTTCCTAGAGATTTCGTTACTCACTCAAAGCGTGTTAAACATCCCTTATGTAGCTTAATTATAAAGTTTGTGTACTACGTCATTATTTTGGGCAAACGGCAGTAACACTCGAAAAATAACGCTAGAATTAAACTCGAAAAAGGCAATACAAAGGAGTAGAAAATCCAGAAAGGACCAAGCAATGGTAAATGATTTCTAATTTTGATATTTCTGATTTCCAAGTAATGTTGCTATATAAATTAATTCCATTGCATCAATTATACACGTTCCATGTACACACACAAAGTGGGCCAAAAAACTTGTAATTCCATTGCGTCAAATAGATACGTTCGGATGAACACGTACAGGGTGGGTCAAAAACGTTCATATTGTTTGGCAATGTTGTGAAAATATGTCTAGTAGAGAGATGAAAGAATCAACTTAGCAATTGTTCCTAAAATTGGACAAATTAATCTTCTGGAGTTTCTGAATAGGAAAGGCTAGACACCAGGACACTGAATATTCAGTGTCCACCATCTAAAACCGAACGTCATACCTGGACTTTGCATAGTACCACACCTCTATTGGCCTAACTTCACCCATTCAACTACTGCTAAAATTATGACATTTTTTGATTGAATAGTCGATTGGTGCATTCGCTATGTGAAGATATCATTGACATGCATTCATCGCGTAAATATTTATAGAAAATTAAATACATGGATCGTTTTGTGGCCTACTCTGCATACTGTTGGACCATGGCTGCCAAGTAATTTAATATGATGGAACTCTGAATAAGTCATTATGAACAATTCTAAATAACACAAACTGGTCGATTTCTTAAATGCTATATTTTATTACAATCAAGAATTTAAGTCCAAAAAGCAATTACAACTCACAAAACCTAATGATTGTTAATGTGCTACCATGAAAGTGTCCAATGCGCCTGTCTTTGACCTGAATCGAGATGATCGGGAGCAGGGCAGGAAAACGAATATTCCAATACAATTACCATAATCAACCACTGAGAGCCGTAAACGCCAATGGGATAACGGTAGATGTACATAACTGATGTCCATTCTCTCATTTCCATACAAAACCTGGGAAGCCCAACATTAGGATTAGGCTCGAAGGCTAGCGATGGACATTAGAAATACTGAGGAAAACAGTTGACCTCTCAATTAAGTAATTAATATAAATTATAAATACAAAGTGAACAGAATGTCGTTCATATTTTTTTAAACTACAAGTGCGGAATCTTTTACGTCGAAAATATTGATGTTTTTCAATTATACACATCTTAATGGTTTTGAGATTTGGCAGTCATACGGGCCCGAGATAACACCCTAAAGGAACATATTTCATACCTCAATCTTGCTATTATATGGCAAGATAATACTGCGAATATAAACCCTGCAAAATTCGTAAAATTCGTAAAATTACCCGCGCTCCGCCTTCTGACCAATCGCATGCTCAGTATCCATGTAGAAATGAAATTCTACACGGATCTTTCCTAGCCTTATATTTATTACTTTTTGTACAATGTACAACTTCCAACTACCGCGGTATAACGTGTATTCAACTGAGTGATATCTATATAACGTTCATAATATGTCCATAAAGAAACCAGAAATACCAAGTACATGTAATTTGTATACAAATGATTTCATTCAATAATTTCAAATTGAGTAACTTTTAAAGAAAAGTGTCCGTATAAGAGTGCGTGTATGTCGTCATCTTTCAAACCAATCGAATTCAGCATAGAAGTGATTAGAATGACAGGATCCAATTATCTGATTTCGATCACCGATCTATGCTGGTTTGACAAGGATATCAGCATCGTCCGCCAAGTCAGATAGTTCCAGGGAATCGAAGGTAACGATCAATACTCTTTCACCAGGTTTCTTAGCTGTTAACTTGTCGGATGAAACCTTGACAACCTCTCCGGGTGCAATGGATTCACTGAAACACATTATTATTAAGTGAAAGTGTTGGTTTTGCAAATTGGCGCATGCTTTTGTTTAATGAGCAAGGGGCATAACACATTCCCTGTCATTCCAGAGAAAACCATGGAAATCCAAATATATAGTTGGATTTCCATGGTTTTCTCTGGAAGGACAGTTTTAACTCTCCCCATTTAAGAGTATTGTCCGAGCAGTTTGCTCAAACAGATTTGTTAGATTTTTATTAGGTTTTATTCAAATGTGACAATAGTAATAATGTTAAAGAATTTATATATAATGTTTTAATGTGGACAGAAAACAATTCCAAAAATCAGAAGTCCAATGGAATTTGTAACATATGAAATATCGAAGTAGAAATTCATAAACACTTATTTGTCAATTGCATAATTGCAAAAAATGTGTATCTATTCAAAATCTAAATTTTATTTTAATGAAGGATATTTTGAGATTAAATGCCATAGAAACCGACAAGTGTTTAAACACAAGTTTGAAATTTGGAAATTAAGGAATAGTAAAATGTATAAGTTATGTATACCTGTTATTACCATTGTATATTATGAAAAAATTGTAAATGTTTTAATGTTTTAATTAAGTAAATAAAGTTTATTAATAAAAATAACTCAGATCAGCTCAGATCAGTGAATTGCCTCATAAAATCAGACCATGTTTCTGGTGAAACAGAAAGATGCTATGCGTATCAGAATGACCGTCGTCGTGCCAATATATGTATTTAAAAACAACATGTTTAAAAATATACTACGTATTAGTTGTGCGTCGTAACGTATCTCAATGTGGTTTCATATTTTACGCGTGCTGCGATGGTTACTGTTACCATAATGTTTACTTACCGGCAAATAATCTCTAATGGTTTCTGCAGCCCAGGTCCTTCAACTGTGAACTCGCCTCTGGTCAGTGGTTTCTGAAGGGGATTCTTGAATTCAGCTCGCACAATGAACTCTTCACCGACAACTACGGACTCTGGGGCAGTAATAATAATATCAGGCTTCTTTAATCGGAAATCGTCGACTTCACAATATACCTGGTTTGTCTCAACAACGCGTGCCAGTGCGTGCATCCTCATCATGGCCATGTCGACCAGTTTATCAAGGTAATCGGTTGGATTGATATTCAAATATAAGTAACTCTCTAAAATTAGAAAAAATACAATATGCTACAAATATGATACACCAACCATAAAAGAATCACTTGGTACTCGGAGAATGAGTTTCCTAAATAGAAAAGTAGCTCGCGTATGGACAATATGATATGTACATGTACTGTACCAAAAATGATGTCTTGCACCATGAAATATATTCTTAATGGAAAGGTTTGTTTCGTATGTACATACTGTATCTCGAGTGATGTCTTGAACCATAAAATATATTTGAATAAAATGTTAGCTCTAACACATGGTCACCCAAAACTACAGTTAATTAGCCTGATATTTCAGATCATAAACATCCAGCTGACATCTCTATCTCACCTTGTCCAGGTTGAAGACTCACACCGTCTTTAAGCTGTTTCACCTGAGTACCCGGCACGCCGGTGTACGCTACAACCTTCGCCGTAACCATGACGTCTACATTGCGTACTTTGTCCGAATTATTCTTTATCTTAAAAGTCACTTTGACGGGATCTCCAATCAAGACATTGTCAGAGTCGATCATGTCCATGGACACATCCTAAATAAATATTTTATGGGCTTATATTCAAAACAGTAGAAAATGATACAGGGGACAGACGATTGAGGGGGTATAGGTTTGGTTGGCAACGTTTTGAAGAACGCGCAGTGGCAACTACATGTAGTTTGGTGTGATAGCTATATTTTTGCTAACTCGTTCGCAATCAGTTCAATTAGTTTTACCTGCTCTCAATAAAAATTTGGGACGAATTTGACTCATGTCCTATTCGCCATTACGAAAGTTGACATTGGATTTAGCCGTCCCAAGGGAAGACCGTCTCGACATTTCACATCATCTCCACTTTCACAGTTCATTTCTCTTCAACGTCAAAGATGATATTCCAAGTCACATCCCATGACTCCTTTCGCATGTAATTATTATTCTAAAATATAGATAAGTAAATTGCCGTCAATCATAGCTAAACCCGTTGGCAGGTAGTATTATAATTGGCACGATACACGCGCGGGTAGAATCCCCATGTGACTTACTTACATTAATCATCATTCATTCCACTCTAATAAAAATATTTCAAACCCTCGCTAATTAAACAAGTAATTAATCATTCGAAATTATTACTTCTATATTCCTTTTTTATTACAAGCACTAAATTCAATCATGTGATATATGACTTGACAAGACTGTGATCTTGGACCGTTTATCGATCGTATTATTCAGTTTTTATTATCTATATATTTTTTTTAAATTATATACTAGGTTAATTTGTCTTAACATGCTAGCAAGGATTTTTTCATGATAGCTCATCTTGATTGAAAGATTGCAATTGGATATCTTATGAGGGTGTGAATTTTATGAAAATATTAACGATGACTGAGTTCCGCAATTGCTAATAAGTAACGTCCTTCAATGTGTTCGATTCTTTATTTCAGTCTCTATAATTAACTTCGATGATTAAACTTAATGTCCAGGGACAGAAATAGTTGGCGGTTCCTGAAAATTGTCCTTTCAATTAAAGAAGATGATGGACATAGATTTAGCTTATATTTAAGTTATATGACAATCAAGATGTCTTCGATTATAATATTGTCAACTCTCACTTGGATGGTAACAACCACTCAACCCTAATATGGGAGATTCTTGGTTAACATGGTCAACAATGTAGTGGTGAGCAACCCTTGTATGGGAAATTCTTGGTTAACATGGTCAACGATGTAGTGGTGAACAACCCTTGTATGGGAGATTCTTGGTATAACATGGTCAACAATGTAGTGGTGAGCAAACCTTGTACGGGAGATTCTTGGTTAACATGGTCAACAATGTAGTGGTGAGAAATTTGATCCATCAACGTCAAACTTTCCAGCTTTGGGGTGGATCAAAAACAAAGACTAATCATAAATTTTAATTTTGTGGTTTGTTTTCCTTCTAACTCACTGAGAGCGTTTTTTAATAATCTTTTATATTGCTGTGTACATAATGTTTTATCTTTCCCCTTTGGCACTTGTGCCCATATAAAAGGAATCGAAATCATGAAACTTGAACTCTGATTCATTTGAAATTTACTATTTACGCACTTCATGGACGTGCTCGGACTCGAACGTGTCATTCAAAAGTCGATGGCTTCCATAACGTTCTGTAATAGTATAGTTTCTACATACTTGAATAACTGACATAATACATGTCACCCTTGTTTGTCTTTGATTTGGTTGGGCCAGACTGCCATTGACTTATACTAGAAACTTGCAATTGTCACTTAATTTCATGATTTATCAAAATGTGTTGGTTGAATCCGTCTAAAACTCGAATAGCATACTATTGAATCACCCTGTCAATCAACATATTGTGATTTAACATAAAAAATGTACGAATAAACCAAGTTTTTTTTCAGAATAATCTTTGCATCAATGGAGATTTGAATTGGTCCATTCTTTCAATGTCATGGAAAATGTTTTAAATGACATAACTGTGTAAATCAAAGCTATTATCACACTGTACAACGTTGTTTCACGTATACGTTACACACCGACATGGTGCGACCTGAATGAACTGCGAATGAGATGGGCGTATTGGAGACTATTTATGAATGAAGTAGCTAATTTTTCAGGCATATTTCCCGACCACAGCCAGTGAGCCCATTTTACCTTTTTGTAGGATTGGAAAGAACAGTTGAAAACTAGTTTGGTATGATAGGGTTAGTATTTGTACGTGACAGTACGTTGTACATCGTTGGGGGTGATCGTATGGACGCGTTTGTTAGCGTTTACATACGTTAGAATTAGTTCCTTTCGTCGGAAATTTTTAACATTTCAAGTTGCGACGAATCAGGTTTTGTGTGTCATTCGTTGTAATTCGTTTCAATGCGAAATTCAAATCCAGCAAAAATGGTACGCAAAACTAAATATTCAAGGAGATATTGACACTGGAAAAGTTACACTTACAAAAAGTTCAATATATTCCATGATTTTGACTTTTCCCCTAAAATATACTTAGATACCAAAATACAAGACTTTCTCGAATAAATCTACACCATCAGATTCAAAATCCGTCCATGATTGGCTGCACAGGACAGATTTTACAAACGAATGTGAAATCTGATTTGCGACAACTTCTCAGTGGTTGGACATGTGGTGATCAATTCTTTTTTGGTGTAAATACTGTCGACAGTGATATCTTGATATAATCAATGATCCAGTTTTTTCTTTTCTGGATAGAAATACAAGATTTCATTGTCAGAGTGTTCAATTTTGTTACGTATGATGGGAATATGATGGTGCAAAGGCCTATGGCAGAATGTTTGGTAGAACTCTTTGGAAATCAAATGATAGCATTGAATTGCCCAATGGGTTGGCCCCCAGTCATCCCACAAATTGAAGGGCCTCTGAAAGCGTTTTACAGCATCACAAACTGACCTAAATATACTTCTGCAAAAATAATTGCTGGATTCAGTGTGATATTACAATGCATGTGCGCATGGGCAAGGCCCAAGGGTACCTCAGATTTGCTTTGGGGAACATGTTGAGGGGACCACATGTTTATGTGGATAGACCCAATGATCATATGTAAGACAAATAAGTAAATTACAGAATGACTCAGTTAAAGGTCAAGCTTCTAGAAAGTTAAATGTTAAAGAAACTATTCCTCTTTTGTCATTTGGTCCATCCAATCACTCAGAAGTTGGCGCAAGTCAGATTTTACCATGGGACACTAAAAGCTGTCATGTAGAGCCAATCAAGGACAAATTTTGAATCTGATGGTGTCAAATTATTCGAGAAAGATTTGTCTTTTGGTATCCAAAGTATAGTTTAGGGGAAAAGTCAAAATTATGAAAGATATTGAACTTTTTGTGAGTGTAACATTTTTGAGACACACTGTATTACGAATCGTTGCGACAGTTAGACAATTCTTTGAGATGAAATTCAACTGTGTATTTTTTATAGTACTATGAAGCAATGTTATACATGTAAATGTAGCTGGTTTCAATTTCTCTATGAATAAAACAGTGTAATAAAATTCATCTATATTGTTATAAAGCTTTCTATGTAATGAACCGGATGATAGTAAACAAGGCATGTAGTCAACCAGCTTTTCCACTTTGAGATAACAAGTAGGTGAACACAATAACAAATTAACATAATCCCCTAATGTTAGTAATCCATGGTTTATCCTAGGAGGAAGAAATTTCTGCATCCTAGATTTATCTGAAAAATGGTCATTTGAGTGTAAGGGATATTAATCCCCAAATGAGAATTAAATGAATAAACAACAGGTATTTACTAAGTAAAGAATACACATTTAGGAAGATTTCTATTCTTGCAACAACAGAAGGTAACACATAAATAAATCTTCAAAAAGTGACAACTACTTTACCTGTCGCAATTCCATTCATATGTAAATGAGTTGGTCACAAAAATAGTAAGTCAATCCGGTAGCCGCTAGCCGTTAGTCGCATTCCCGAATACAAGCTAAACAAAATTGTAGTCGGGAATGCAAATTTCGGCTGTCGGCTACCGGATTACTATTTTATGAGAAACTCATCTAAATATGAATGGATTATTGGCAGGAACTATTCATTTTCAAAAAGTGTTGCCCAAAAATTGCAGATTAATCCGGTAGCCTACAGGTGTTAGTTGCATTCGCGAATACAAGCTAAGTAAAATAAATTACAAAAAGAGGGATTTTGCACAACGTGCGGTTGCAGATACGTTTATCTCATCCACCACAAAGGCGTAAATGTACCTCAGTCGTTTTATCAGTATACGCACGTAGTTAGACCTAGCTTGTAAAGAAGGTATTTTCTCGTTCATCGTTGAACGTATGTGTTTTTGACACGAACTGCTTCTTCGCTCGCTGCAATGTTTTTTATTTATTAAAATCGTATAAACATATTTATAGGATATCCTATGATTTTGAGGAATATCATTTTTATCTACGAGGTGATATTGATATCTGCACGAGAGAGCGAAGCGAACGAGTGCATATATCAATATCACCGAGTAGATTAAAATGATATTCTGAAAGAAATCATGGGATGTTCTTATTTTCCTACACTTACAAGGAGTGTACTAAATGTATAATATCATTGCAAAATGAATTTCATGCCAAATAGAGTCAATTTGGCGGGAAATCAACAAGCGGAGTATATCGTCACAATATCCTCCGCATATTGGGTTTTCCGGAGTATATCGTGACGATATCCTCCGGATATTAATTTTGCCCATAAATATCAACTTTATTTTTTAATGTTATTATACATTTAGTACACTAAGTGTAGGATAATAGCTGATATAGACAACTCAGGGGATGTATGGCTTATCTCAATCTAAAAAAATATAAAAATGGCATATTGTTTTGTTGTTGATTGTCAATGGATGCAGGTATACAGGGTGATCACTAAGTTCTGGGAATTTATCTGTCATTTCATTATTTTTCAACCAATTTACTTGAAATTTTCAAGGTAAATGGGAAATGTAATTTTGGGTTGGATAAAAACAGTCTCATTGTCATCCGATGTCACAATGTTTAATTATTGTTACTATAGCAACATGACAAATGGTGTAGCGGGTCAAGTAAAATAAAAATGAATTCAAATTTTACTTGATCCAAAAGTATGGTAAATAAATACCTATTTGGTGGACATATTTCTGTGATTTTTTATATTTTCAAATACTTCTAGCTTTAGTTTCTAAAGTAACATCTTTATTGTTATATAGGAGTGCACTTTGCTCTATTTTTGTATCATTCATAGCATCTCAAAGTAACAATCATGACTAAAAATAGCGGGGAGTTATCTTCCATTATGACTATGCTCCTTCCCATTACTCAAGCTGCCCATACTACTCTTGAAGAATTAGGGTTCACACAAGTTATTACTGTCCCATATTCACCAGAAAATATTCACCAGATGAAGCACCATTAGGCTTCACTACATTTTGGGTGCTAAAACATTATATGAGAGGTCATAAGTTTGATTCCAATAAGGGACTAATTTCAACGGCTTGAGCAAATCTTCAAGGGATACCAAAGGGAGGACTGGAACACATCTTTATGGACTAAGTTTGCCAACAACGCATGTGCGTCCAGGCTAATGGAAACAATAATAAATGAAATGATCCTCTCAGCAATGAAGAATACTTCTGAATAAATGACTTCAAGAGTACTGTTCTGCCTCTAGTACAAGTAGTTTGAAGTAACCATCTAGGCAAGATGAATATGTTTTGGCAGGAAATTTTCAAATTAACATCAGTCAAAATTTGCTGACCCGCGAACCACTTTTACTTTTTTTGTAATTACAATAAAATAAATTCTAGATGTGATATGTATATGAAACATTGCATGTCAATTCAGAATTATACAATGTACACCTGCTGAAAATTTCAACTCAAATGGTTGAGAAATCTTGAAATGGCAGACCAATTCCCAGAACTTAATGTGGGAAGTTGGACCAAATAAAATTTTATTTTGACATGTAAAGTTCCTGGCTTTATACCGCTATGTCAAGGATGTTACAAGACAATATGTTACTCTCCCATGCATATATATGATTTCGTCGAAAATATAGAATGTGGGATACGGGATGACATATGCTACACATTGCAACGATATTTTTATGAGGGTTCTTTCTAATACTGAGAAATAATCATCTGTTGAAATAAAATAGATACTAAATGCGAATTCGAATTTGTTTGAGCAGTTCCAGTTCGACACAAAGAAAAAACATTTTACAGCACTCTAATAGAAATTTTAAAAACCGTCCATGACATCTTTGACATATCAAATCCGTTATGCCAGTTTCCTACTGTAGGATACTATTTTGGACTTATTTTAGTTCTTCGGTTATTTAGGATTTCGGTCACTATCTCGGAAAGGGCAAAGAGCGGAAATCTGGAAATCTTATTTTTTTCTGTGGGAAGATTTGATAGTACGCATGTGTGTGATTAGCTGACCTGACGAAACATATTGTCTAATTTGGGTTAGAAAACCTTGTAAATATTCTTATCGTATGATCTGTAAAATGAAGCCTTCTGATTGGTCAGTTCTTGTGCTGTACCAATCTGTTTTGCTACTGAGATTGTCCCCGTTGGCCATCTCCGTCGCAATACAGAAAATATTGGTACGGAGAGGACAATCTCAGTAGCAATACAGAGGATCACACGATAAAAACGATTTTGAATGATTTGAAGTTCAATACAGGATATATTCTGTCTCGATATTCTGTATTGGCACTCGACTTCGTCTCGTTCCAATACGGAATTTCTCGAGCAGAATATATCCTGTATTGCACTTCAAATCATTCAATAACTTATAATATCATCCGTACGAGCAAATACTAAATTCATTGTTCTTCATAAGTATTAGGAATAATTTGCGTTTTGAACATTTACCACCGATTTATTCAATTTAAGCTCAACTGTCACTTTGATATTCATAGCATCTTTCTGTGTCACCGGGAACATGATCTAACGGCTGAGAAGGAATGAGATGTCATGGTTTATCACTATGCTCAACTATAAATATCTATCTAGCTTATTCAGAATTTATTTCGTCGAAGTTCAAATTCATTGTGTTTAATGTAATTTATCGAAATACACCAGTGATGTTTATTGTGTCGTTTTAATATAAAATGCGGAGAAATTAAAACCGAGGCTTAATGAAAATGATTTCTTTCCAAAAATGAATTATGATGTCGTCCACTATGGACATCAATTCAAATGCTCTAAACATCAACTTAACACGCCATTTACACTTTGAGTTCGTAAGTAGTAAGCAGAGGACTGTCTAAGAAGAGGCAATTCCAAATAAAATTTTGAATTTTCAATGGGGCTCGGTGGCGACAGGTGAGAGTCGAGATATCCTCAATCAATTAAACCACCGAACTTGCGTTTCAAGAACAAAATGGGGTTTGCTTACTTTGCTCTGCGAGTCTATGATCACTGGGGGTCTGCATTGATTTAGCTAAACTGCTAAGAACAAACAGTCACTGGCGACGCCTATGATTCCCACATTCGGCGATTATCGGTGAACAAGAAAATCAACTTGAGTACCAGATAGCAATGGCCCTACCTATAGCTGGACTGACAAGGGTAGGAATATCTGAACCCTTGGATCAGTTACAATGGTCCATTCTCTGACTATACCTGTATACGCCAAAAAGTTTTTCAAGAATAAGCTCTTATTTTTGAAGAAGGTCTAAAACGCATAGTTGGGAAGCCAACAATGAGAAACAATTTAGTGTTGGAAGCGATTTATGTCGGTCAACTGATCACGACGTCACATTCACGTGACCGTTATTTTAGAAATATAATGCTACACTTTATTCCAAGTTCCGATCCAATGAGGATTGAGCATTAAGATCCTTTCCCAATTCACTGGGGGGTATCGTGATGCAACAACACCGTGTTGTTGCATCAAGATGGCCAGACTTCCGGTGATAGATTTTCGTACGATGTTTTGTTTTCCCAATTTACACCCATTTCTAGGACGAGTTGCTCAATAATCATACACATGCAGTTAGCACATGATCTATATTTTCAAAAACTGTCATTGGTATACATGTAGCATCATCAAGAAGCGATAAAATCGTGGTTTTAATTCCTCACTATTGATGCAACAACACCACTCTGTTTCTTATCGATGGTGCAACAACACCAATGTGCTGATGCAAAAACGCCAATATAATGTATCATTGAACAGCAAGAGAAACTGTTTTATGTTCTGTTTACAGGTGTAGGTCGGGACATGAATAAAACGCGTGAGTCAGTGGTCCATGAACGAAACGTATTTTGTTTGGTTTCTTTGTCTATATCAAAGTTAAAAGGATATACAAGGCAAACTAAATAAAGTACAGAATCCCCGGGAGGCAATATCATTGATATTGTATCTGAAAAATAAAGATTATACATTTTCTAAATTAAATGCCCTTGATTTACCGTATGGAAACAAATAACTAATATAATTTTGGAAAGACAACAGATATCAGTCATTTTGTGTTGTTGGTACCTCAATTGAAATACTCAATTCTGATTGGTTGATGAGCGGGCAACAAAATGTATTGTTAGTACCTCAACTGAAATACTCGATTCTGATTGGGTGATTAGCGGTCAAAATTATGTACTGTTGACCGCTACTAGGTACTGTTGACCGCTACTTCTGAAAAAAAGTTTCATGACGTCACAAAAAACATGGAAGACGGACATTTTGTAAATGTTGATGAAAATGACTTTACTAGGCGACAAGTATAGCAAAAATACAAATAGAAGCTTAAAATTAACATTAATTCACTAACGAGTACGCCGTGATGTGCCAAATACAGAGTTAAGCTTCTTGCACTGTCTCCATATTTTCTAAAAAAATATTGCTAACGTGGTTCGGAGAAAAGGTTGTGAAATGAAGCCATGCCGATTGATGATCGTCGTCTATATGTGTATTTTTAGTTTACTCGGACTAACAAAACAATTGTAGACCTCTCCATTCGATCAACCGTCAAAATCATATACCTCGACTGTAAACCTTGAAACTACTGTTGACCTCGACCTTCGGTCTCTGTCAACAATATTTTTTCGGTTTACAGTCTCGGTATACAATTTTGCCGATTGGCCTCTGGGGTGGTCAACAATTGTAAACTGTTGACCACTACTAGGTACTGTTGACCCCTATTTTTGAAAAGTTGTTTTTTTTAATGTTGAAATTTTTTTAATTTTGAAAAAATAAGTTGTGTAAAAAATTACAAGTATTCGACGGTTTGGGGATTTTTTGCTAAAATATGATACATTTACTTATCAAATATGTTCACGTGATATTCGATTATATATTCGTCCAATTATTATATTATTTGAACTAACAGAACAATTGTTAACCTCTCTTTTCGGTCAACTGGCAAAAGTGTCCTCGACCTCTGGTCTTGATCAACAGTACTTTCAAGGTTTACAGTATCGGTATACAATTTTGCCAGTTGACCTCAAGAGGGGTCTACAATTGTATATTGTTAGTACCTCAGTGTAAATACTCGCATCTGATTGGTCAATTAGCGGTCAACATTTTTGCCTGTACCTCACCTGTGCATCATGGGATATCATATTATTGACCACGTATGTTACTGTACTACACTTGTGAATTATGGGGAATATGACGTCACAATGTTTACAGAAAACAAAATTGAAGACGGACATTTTGTAAACGTTGATGAAAGCCGCGGTGATATTTTGACTTTGCTAGACGACGAGTATAGCAAAAAAGTAGGGGGGGGGGGGGGGGTAGGGACGAAAAATTTCGAACGGAATGCGTGACATATACATAATTCGCGTGAAAAGTCCGAACGAAATGCGTACATTTTTTTCCCGCGTTCGTATTTTTGCTGTGTAGACGATCCTTTTTAGAAATTTTTCTGCAGAAATATTTTTGCTTGACAATTACCAGGTAAAATGCGTAGTTGCGTGACATTTTCTGTCACGCAAAAATAACTGCCGTGACTTCAAATTCTTCAGCAAATGCGTGACAAATACGCAAAATGCGGGACAGTTGACATTTTATTAGTTTCTTCTGACTAACAAAACAATTGTAGACCTCTCCATTCGGTCAACCGTCAAAATCATATACCTCGACTGTAAACCTTGAAACTACTGTTGACCTCGACCTTCGGTCTCTGTCAACAGTAGTTTCTCGGTTTACAGTCTCGGTATACAATTTTGCCGGTTGACCTCTGGAGAGGTCAACAATTGTATATTGTTAGTACCTCAGTGTAAATACTCGCATCTGATTGGTCAATTAGCGGTCAACATTTTTGCCTGTACCTCCCCTGTGCATCATGGGATATCATATTATTGACCGCTTATGTAACTGTACTACACTTGTTAATTATGGGAAATATGACGTCATAATGTTTACAGAAAAAACATGGTAGACGGATATTTCGTAAACGTTGATGAAAGTGATATTTTGACTTTGCTAGACGACAAGTATAGCAAAAATACAAAAAGAAACGAAAAATTAACATTAATTTACAAGTGAGTACGCAGTTATGTGCCAAAAACAAAGAGTTTAGCTACCACTGTCTTAAGATTTTCTTAAAAAATTATTGCTGGTGTGGTTCGGAGAAAAGATTGTGAAATGAAGCCATGATTGATGACTGTCGTCTATATGTGTATTATTAGTATCTTCTGACTAACAAAACAATTGTAGACCTCTCCATTCGGTCAACCGTCAAAACCATATACCTCGACTGTAAACCTTGAAACTACTGTTGACCTCGACCTTCGGTCTCTGTCAACAGTAGTGTCTCGGTTTACAGTCTCGGTACACAATTTTGCCGGTTGACCTCTGGAGAGGTCAACAATTGTATATTGTATATCCTTTGTTATCCCACCCAAAGTATGATGTCATATATCAAGTTGAAGAGTTGTATACGCTGCTCAGGAGTTTACGCTATCCAGGAGTTGTACATCGTTCTCAAGAGTTGTATAGGATGAGTGTTGGTTTAATGATATTGCAGTTATACAATGCTATTATATAAAAGTTATTTACTGAGAGGGATTCAATATTGGTTTTATTTTGAGAGACAATATGATATTTCCCGAGGGCCCGGGATATCTGGGATAACTGTACCCCTATCAATTTACCTTTTTGGACCCTAAATCTTATCACTTTTGTTTACCTTTTTACTCAGTCGGAGAGAAGGAATCCAAAGAGAGCAATAATTCTACATGTGCGTCGTGCAAGATTTCCATTAAACGTGTAACTAAACGGCCTCTCTAATAAAGTCAATTAGACGTTTTTACACGTTGGCTCTACAAATTGTAGGAAATAAAGAATCATGTCATATTATATCATAGATGAAGCAATCATCCCATCAACATAAGCTCACGAATGTCAGAGTTAAACTGTTTTAGTATATAATTTGATAAACCAGTGGTAACGTACATCTACTAGTTTATCACTGTTCCACAGATGGATGACAGATAATATCATGATAATATCCAATAGCTCATCATGTTTACCGAGAACGAAAGATATTTGTCCACCATTTTGAATGATACTAACTGGAGTCAGGGTCATCAAGCTGTGGAACAGTGGTTTATGAAAATAGATTGGGTTACTAAAGCTTGCCATGTTAAAGGCGATTGAACTATGTTATAGAATAACGTCCAGTACATTATAATATGTAAAAGTATAAATTTTTGAAAAAGGATCTTCGCCCGCAGGACGTGTATTTTGAATGTCTTGAGAAGAACGCAAATATGGGTAGGCTAATTGGTAACGGTATTGCAATAGTAGCATTTAAAAATCTGTTCCTCTCGAGATTTATGGTCTTCTGAAATTATACTATTAATTGGTGTTGCTGCATCATTGCTCAAATCTAGAGGAGTGTTGTTGCATCTTCGGTTTGGTGTTGTTGCATCAATAGTGAGGAACTAAAACCGTGAACTTATTGCTTCTTGTAGACGGGTAGGAAGGAGGGGTT